TGGATGCATATAGAGTGGAATAAATATTGAGGATATATATATACACACACATACAGAGAGCATGAACAGATGGGAGTTGTCTTACCAACTCTGAGAGGACAATTAAGTAAGAGAGAAAAGAAAAAAACAACAACTTTTGAAGTGATAATCAAGATAGCCCAGTACAGACAGTTTGATAAGAAGTGTGAGAATACTTACAAGGGGAGATAGATTCAGTGTTTGCAATGGCTCAGCCATTCCCAGTATTTTAGTTGTGCAACTTCCATTGACTTTAATAGGCATCACATGGCTGAACCTTTCTGCAATGCAACCTTTTATGTATTTACCCTTCTCTTAGCAAAGTTTTAGCAACAGGGACCCTTGCCTCAGTGCTTCAAATGACAAATGACTCATGGGCATGGCTTGTATATGAAGCAGCTATCACCTTTCAGGGAAAGGTTGAGTGCAGTGGTCCCCTTGCTAAGGACAGCCCTGATTTGACAGTGAGAACTTCTCTGTCAATTCTATGGATCACTCCTGCATTGTGAACTTCCTCACAGCAGTGCCAGCCCAGAGTCCAGCACTGCAGGCATTTTCAGAGCATCGCCCTTTCAGGATTAGACAGGATTCCAGCCATGTGAGCTGCTCACAGCAGTGCCTCGGTCATTTCCAACTCCCACAATGGTATCCACAGTCCGAAAGCAGCTCATAATGATGGCTTTAGGGACCTACAAAAGCCACCAACAGCAAAAACCACACCACTTGGCAAAATATAGATCTGGTTTTCCTATCTAGAAATCACTAGGTGGAAACCTCCCCGTTTCATTAGCCTTTGAAGGGAGATGTATTTTTGCAGCTTAGAAACAAGGAAATTCTGTTTTCCGAAGGAAATATGATGGAACAATTATGGAGGCCCCCTTCTTTCCATTTAGAGAGCGATTACCGTCAGAAAATGACTGTGAAAATGGCAGTTTCCTACTCCACTGAACTGCCCCCTTGCTCGTCTTCAAAGTCATATCTGCTGACTAAAACAAGCGCTCATGGCCTGAATTACGGAGGTGCCGAGCATCCACTTCAGATGGAGTCATGGGTGCTCAGCATTTCTGAAAATCTGGACCTTCCCTCCCCCCCTCCCCTCGTGCTAGCATTTCAATACCAGCGCAGTTTAAAGAGAGGGAGCTAGATTTTACTCTGGCTTGTGCATCACCCCCAGAATTGTAAACTAAATTCCAGTTCCCAAGCCTGTATTAGAGATGATCACGCAAGAAACCAGTAAAACATCCAGCTTGCCTCTCAGATTCCCAGTTTGAGTTTGCAGAGCCAGCAGATAAGAAAACAATTTCATCTAATCGCTGTGAGACCAACGTAAGACTCCTCAGTGTTAACTCTACAGTCTGTTTTCAGAGTCTAGTTCTTATCAAATATATTGTAGCTATATCTCCAATGCTGTGTGCAACATTCAAAAGCTGTCCCAATTACATAGCATCAGATGGTGCAAATCAGCATAATAATCCCATTGAATCATGCTGGTCTTGCCCTATATGTACTATATAGCGGGAAACTGATAGGTCTTAAATATCTTGTATTAATATGAAGATTAACAGGGACATTTTTCAAAGGTGCAAGGCATCAAAATTTCAATGGAATATGGACACACTTGAAAATCCCAGTTTTAATAAATATATTTTGTTTCATGGTATATAGCACTATGGGACTGGGCTAATTTTGCTTATGTCACATAATTGACGTACTGTATATTCATAAAACAAACAAATAATACATGGTTTAAGGCGTATTGGCTGCTACTGTACTGCTCTTTTATTCCAACTGTGGCTTTATCATCTGAAAGCAAAGCTTTGTTGCATTCAAGTGCTTTCCATTCCCTTCCTTTCGGTCGCACCAAAAATTCCGTCCCATTCTAT